AGGGGCCCCGCCGCCCGCCGCCCCCTCCGCCTCGCCCGCCCCACTGTCTTTAAGGAGAACAGAGAACACAGACTGGAGAGAGAAAGGAGGAAAAAAAAGAAATAAAAATATTTTTATTTTCTATAAAAGGAAAAAAGTATAACAAAATGTTTTATTTTCATTTTAGCAAAAATTGTCTTATAATACTAGCTAACGGCAAAGACGTTTTTATAGGGAAACTATTTATATGTAACATCCTGATTTACAGCTTCGGAAAAAAAAAAAGAAACAACAAAAAAAAAAGAGAGATGGGCCAATTTTTTGACTCTTTAATAGAAACCTATATTGTGGTGCCTTTTGCTGTACGCTAATCTGGGGCTCCTGGAGAGAAGTCTGGGTTGTGGGGTGGTGGGGGTGGGGCTGGAGGCTCCTGAGCTGGTGGGGGTGAGAGAAAGCAGGGAAAGAAGAGACCGCAGTAAGAGACTGGTCCTGAGGAAGAAAGCGAAGACAGATCCCCCAGCCCCCCACCCCAGGCAAGATCTGGAGTCCTGGGTACCCCCGGGAGGAGCGGCCGGGAGCCTAGGCTTGGAGCCATCTTGGGGTCAAGTAACCCTATGGAAGACAGGCCCAGCGACAGCAACCAGAATGGGGAGTGGGCCCCCCTGCTCCTCACAGCTGCTAAGGGTGGGGGGTTAGAGAAAAAGGTCTCCCCAACAGCTCAGGACCCAGGGAGTGGCAGCTCTGCCAGGAGCCCAATGTTCGTGGCTCCTTCCCGGCTCCAGGACGCCCCTCTGTCCTCTGCAGCACCTTCGTTTACAGGTCGTCTTTTCTATTTTATGCCTGCATGTCCTTTGCATTTCAGATTCTTTAGATTGGATGCATGGTCACGCTGGGACCGAGAAGAGCCACTCAACAGTGTATTCGATAACCCTTTTAGCAATAAAGTTACACCATTTCCTTCTCACAGCTGCCTCCCTGCCCTCAGCCCACCTATGACTTCCACTCCCTCTCCAGTCCTGTCCTCCCCACCTCCCAAAACTGGGTCCACTGCTAATTTGTCAAAAAGGTCGTTGTTTAAAAAAAAAAGAAAAAGAAAAAAAACTCAGAAGCATATGGGAACTCTGCCCTGAAATGTCCGAACACCTGACTGTTGACACTTGAACATTTTTATATTATAAATAAAATCAGAAATAACTCCTGTTTGACTGTGTGTGCCTAGCCCCAAGCCGAGGAGAGAGGATAGAGAATGAGGACCTGTGGTGGACGTGGGTGGGTGTTGGTGCGGAGATTGAAGAGGGCCAGGGACGGCCCAGGGAGAAGCGACCCTCTCTCCAGTCTCCCTGGTCCCAGCTCCCAGGACAGGCTCCAAACCCTCCTCCCTCCCCCAAGAACATTTACGAGGTGTTCCCCTGGCTGCTGGGGCATCTGGCCAAGGGGCTGATGCAAATTGCTCTGTTTCAAACTCAGTCTCAGAACTCTGGCCCAGTTCCTACCCTGGAGCTACAGGTCGGACTGAGGCAACAGTTTCCGGACCCAGGTGGGCGAGGAGGGAAGGGTTGTGGGGCTGGCACTGGAGCAACTGAGGCAAGTTACCTTGGGGCCTCAGGCAGGTCACAGGCAAAGTCTAGACCTGCAAGGTGGCTGGTAGGTACCGTTGGTTGCCAGGAGGACCACAGCTGCTACCGCTAAACTCACAGGATTTTGCTCTCTCCCCAACTTTATAACCCTTCAGAGCCAGGGCCTGTCTAAACCCGCAGCCCCTGATTTAAAAAAAAAAAAAAAAAAAGACTTCAGGTATGGAGAAGGTAGAGAGAGGTCCAGGGTTAAGACTTCCGCTTGACTGGCCAGTTCATTAAACCAATGCCCAATACCGGGAACCATTAGGTTGCAGGCAGACACAAGACAGTCTTCTACCCAGAGCTGAGGTGGTTGCCATGTGTGTCAATGCCCCAGAGTGTGTGTAGTCAGAAATCTGCAGGGACAGAGGCCTAGGGCTGAGATGGCTTAGGCATCAGGACCTGGGTTCAAATTCTAGCTCTGCCCCTCACTAGCTGTGACCTCTGAGCCTCAGTTTCCTTGCTGTGAAATGGTGACGCAGAGACCTACTCAAAGGGTACGGCTTCTGGCACATGACAGACGCCTATTAAATGGCTGCTTTGATGGTGACGATGACTATCCTGTGCCTTGCATGCTTGGATCACACGGGGACAAAAATCTGGATGAGAGGGAGGTGATGGAGAAAAGAAAGAACTAAAGTCATTGTAGTTGTTATGGGGGTGCTGGAAAAAGCACCTGTTACAAAGAAACAAAGGAAAATAATGAATTAAATACTGTATAAACCCACAGATCACTAACCGCTCCCATCCCCAGCTGAATCTCACCTAGACCCCTCTGCTGTCTCTGAGCTTCCTGTTGGTTTTAAAGTTTTCTGAGAGCCAGTAATTCTTCTGTGACCTCTGACCTCCATGGAAACCCAAATTAGCTTTATATGACCTCTTGATGAATCTATTGACCTTTGCTTGACCCAGCTCAGTGTCTTTATTTGACCCTTCTGAGAGCTCTGAGTTGCTATTGCCTTCTAAACTTTCAATCAGAAACCACTTCCATTACTCAGAGGAACCCAACCATCTCTATGTGTCCTTTAGTTAATTCTGAGTGGCCTCTTGATGAATTCATTGACCTTTAGATGACCCCATTTTGTACCTTCATTATCTTCTCTGGATTCTTCTTTTTTTTGGAGAGACTTTTCCTGTAGGGCTTGTACACTTGCCAGAGAGACAAAGTGAGAAATCACCCCATGATGGGGGATAGCTACACTGCAATCCCTTCTCCTCCATTCTCCTCTCAGGATCTTGGGCACATACGCACAAGCACCTGGCGTGAGTTTCAAGTCACCAGGTCCAGGACTCAAACCATGATGGACAATGTGGGTGTCCAGCAACGTAATCATTATGCCATCTGCTGGTCTCTCTTCTCTGGATTCTAAGATACCTCCTGTAGTTGTCGAGAGTCTAAGGTCATAACAGAATATGAGGTCTTCGGAAAGTTCATGGAAGATGCATAATATGAAAAAAATTAAAAACTATGCATGGATTTCAATATTTTTGCACCAAAATAAACTTATACTTTAAATTTTTTACAAACTTTTGAAAGTCCCTTTATATATATAGTTCCTTTGCTCTTTCCTCCCTACATCATCTTCCCATTCTTTTCACAGGTATGGTTGGGACCTAGGAGCACATTTGGACAGAGAAGCCCCTTCTCTGCTCTGTCTCCCAGGTTTTGCCTTAGGAAACCTTTAGTATGGCCTTTTAGGAAGAGTTACAAACTGGTTTAAGCAATTTCTTGACAGCTCCCCTGTGCCCTGGAACACAGGACACTCTAGCATTCTGAGTCAGAGTCTTTTCCACTCCCCCATTCTTTCTTCCCTCTGCTGGGTCATTTTTGGTTTCTCTCCACAGTCCCCCCTCCATTCCTATTTCTGGCTTCGAGTCCCAAATGGTAAGAGTAACAACCCATCCCTCTGCCTTCTAGACTGTGAGCCCCATGAGGACAGGGAGCTGTATCCCCAACACCAGCACAGCATGAGGTACATGGCTGGCCATCTTTGAATGAGAGGTTGAAGGCATAAAAGACACTCCGTAGGGGTCAGCTCCCAGGAATCCCAGAGCTGGCAGCCATTTCCCAGGACCGCCAAGTGGCACAAACCATCTATTGCATCTCGCCAACCCTTGGATTTGGATAGTCCACGCAATGGGCAAAGGTTGTAGGAGGGAAACATGATGGTCCAGAAGGATGCAGAAATAAATATTAGAACTTCAATTTAGATTTATTTTCATCTCATCTGTTTTTTAAATTTCTACTTTTGTGGATGTTTTTAAATGTACATAATATTTTAGTATAGTAGTACATGTATATAATTTACAAATAAATAATTATACAATTAAGGAAGCAAACTAAAATTTTTTTACCAATGGGAGGCACAACTAGTGCTCGGGGAAGCACATCTGCAGCCGATGGAGCATGTATCTCTGCTTTCTCTCACCCACCTTCATGAAGTGGAGGAAGGGACTCTGACCCCCAAAACCAAAAGACCTTAGAGGCAGCATGAAGAAAGTACAGAAGACTCTTTTATGTTGCCATATTGTTTTTTCCATTTCACTTAAATTAATATTTACTTCCCCTGAGCAAAATGAAGGGGCCAGATGGTTTGGTTATAAAACACACTTCAGCTGATTCAACTGAAATAATCTGGACTTAAAACACTACATCTCACCACATACTCACTTGTCCCTTGCATCAAATATGACTGGGCTTGTAAATATTACTTAGTTGCAAGGTTGGCTTACCTTACTAAATATGTTATCACTGAGGTCAAACTGCTAGCCAAACTACAGTAATTTATTAAAACAAGAGAAGGGATTTGCTCATCAAAGCCATCTTCCTCACCCACCTGTCAGTCTGAGCAATACAGGGTTTAACAGATGCCAATCTATGATGGGCACGTAACAAATTTCTCTTTTCCCCCCATACGTCTCCTTAGCAAAGCCTTTCTGATTCACTTGAAAAATGAAAAAAGCATCAACCTAAAAACAATCAGCAACTTGTCATTCCACCTTTTCCCAAGGCCAGGGATTAATAGCTTCCATAACCTTCCCCCACCAGCATCTTTAGGCTCGTTGACACGTGGCTATTCGGAAGGCAGAATCTCTTTTATCCCCATGGCTGTAGATCTGTACAAGAGGCCACCTCTGGAGCTCAGAGATCTGGCAGCACCAACATAAGGACCCAAATATAAACAGGGCTGTGTCCCCTTCCACTCACACCCCAGCACACCCGTGGGGCATGACAATGGGCGGTGCAAAAATGCTCTATTTATTCCAAAGCATCGACCGACCGTAAGAAGATGGAAGTCACAGGTCAGTCAGAAGAGGGAAAAAATGAGGTGAGAGGATTTCAGCACTATCTCCATCTTTCTTCCCAGAGTGTCAGGGCCACGGGGGGCCAAATAGCAGCCTCCCTTGCTAACAGGTGGAGCTCCCTAATACACTATTCCTTAATCTGACTTTATCTTCTATTAGTTCCAAAACCATCTGTAAAAGGGTTCCTTATATATACGTGTATATATGTACATATATATACAGTATATCATTGTTATATATATACATTTATGCCTGTATAAAAAGGAGGCAGTAGTGGCCTCAGTGGGTGGAATGAGAGGTGGATGCACATGTGAGTGGAGTCAGCTTGGCACTCAGAGAGGACAGGCCCAGATCCCAGATTATTGCGATGTGAGGCAGGCGAATCGGGCTTGGTTCCAGAGGTTGCTGAGAGGAAGGAAGCGAGGATAGTGCTGGTGGTCTGCAGACCTGCTGCTGGTCAGCTCAGAGGAAAGAGAAGGAGAAAGGGTGGGGGTCCAAGCTGAGACCAAAAGTCAAGATCTACTCTCACAAAGATGAGGGAAGAGCTTGATGAGAAGAGGAGGGCCTGAGAAAACAGAGGCCGTTCCAGCTTCTCCAGTGAGTTGGTACCTAGAGCATGCACACAACTGGCCTACAGAATGAGGCTCTGTGGTGAAGAGTGAAATGAGGGCTGGGGAGAGGGTCCAGGCCCAGGGATGCGCCAGGATGCAAGATCTACAACATGAACAGCATCTCCGTTTCCTTAGCCCGTGGGACTCGCTGCACCCCCGTGGCTGCCCTTCAACTACCTGGAGTCTGGTTTCAGTGGCTCCTGGATGTAATTGTGCTCACTGACCCCTCTGGGGGCATCTGTCTGCCTTCAGGGCCTGTGCGTCCACACCAGCTAAGTATCGGGCCCAGTGGTATCCTTTGTGGCTTTGCTGACAGTCATGGGCCCATGACCCTGGCTGAGGGCAGGGCTTGAGTGTGTCTTCCGTAGAGAAGGGTCATCCCCTTCCAGGGTAGCCAGCCGGGCCTCAATTCGCTCCAGATCATCTGAGCCCACTTTGATTTTCACAGCCAGGAGGTGGATATAGGTCTCGTAACGGCTTTTCTGGGAAAAGGGCAGAGAAAGGTCAAAAACAAAAGTCAAAAGAGAAACAACAAAATAATTTTTTTAAATATACCTTATATGACAGAAGACTTTTTTAAAAATTTTGCCATAGGGCACATGCGCTCACTGAAGAGAGAAAGAAAGAAGAGAAAAGTGAGAAAGCACTCCCTAGGGGGGAGAACCACTCTGCAATCCTCCTCCTCCACTCTTGGAATTTTGATCACACACACACACACACACACACACACGCCCAGCCTGGTTTTCAAGCTGCTGGGTCTGGGACTCAAAACATGAAGTTAACCACGTGGGATCCAACTGCCTTAATCATCATGCCATGAAGGATTAATTTCCTTAATATACAGAGCACTCCCACAGATCAATAAAAATGAGACAAATAATCCACTTTTCAAAAATAGGTGGGCTGGGGCCGGCAGGTAGTGTGGTGGTTAAGGGCGCCGGACTCCCAGGTGGCTGACGGCAGTTTGAGTACCAGACCTGGTGGCTTACTCTCTCTTTCTCTCTCTCTCGCTGTGTCCCTCTCTGGTCAAATTAAAATGAGTAAATAAATATATAAAGTTAAACGAAACAATTCTTTAAAAAAAAAATAAATAGATGGGCCAGCCACATAGCACATCAATTAAGCACTGTGCATAGGAGTCAGATCCCCCGTGGCTGGCCATGATTTGGATCTTGACCCTGGCAGTTTGGAAGACAAACAAACATGGCAGGTGCATGTGTGTGTGCAAGCCCAGAATCCTGGGAAGGAGGAAAGAGAATTGCGGTGGAACCAGGTCCCAATGAAGATTGTCTTCCTCTCTCTCCCTCACTCTCTGGCAAATGTACATGCCTTATGGCAATTAAAAAAAAATAGGCAAGGGACATACACATGAATTTCTCTTATAATTTTAAAAATCCAAATAATTGGCAATGATTTCTTAGATATGCCACCAAAAGCACAGGCAAAAAAAAAGTAAAAATAGACAAGTGGGACTACATCAAAATTTAAACCTGTTGGGGGCCTGCAGGAGGAATGATGGTTAAGGTGCTTGACTCCCACATGGCCAATCGCAGTTTGAGTCCTGGACCTGACGGCTTAAAAATCATGTGTGTGCATGCCCAATATCCCAGGAGGAGGAAGGATTGCAACATGGCTATCCCCTCTAGGGGATGATTTCTCACTTTCCTTCTCATTGTCTCTCTCTGGAAAGGGTGCACACCCTGTGGCAAAAACCTAAAAAAAATTAAATTAATAAATAAATAAAAATTAAACCTTCTGTACATCAAAAGATACAAACAATCACCTGAAACGGCTGGGAGAAAATATTTGCAAATCATATATCTGATAAGGTTAATATCCATAGTATATGAAGAACTCTTTCAACTCAACAACAAAGTAACAGTTAAACAACTCAACCAAAATATGGGCATGGGATAGTCTCATAGCAGTCATACCACATGTTCTACGGGGATTCAAATCCTGGCCACAGTGGCTTGAAAAACCAGGCACATGTGCACATGCACCCAGGATCCCGATGGGAGGGAGGAATGGAAGAGAGGAGATTGCATTGTAACCAGGCCCCAGCAAGGGTTGGGTTGCTTTCCCTTTCTCTCTCTCTCTCTCTCTCTCTCTCTCTCTCTCCTGCATGTGCATTCATCCTCTGGTATTAAAAAAAAAGAGAAAGGACTTGAATAAATATTTTTCCAAAGAAGATACACAAATGGCCAACAACACATAAAAGATGTTCAACAACACCAACCATTAGGGCAGTGCAAATCAAAACCACAATGAGATGTCATCTCATACCCATTAGGATGGCTACTATTAAAAAGAAGAAGAAGAAAGAAGATAACTGTTAGTAAGATATGAATAAATTGGAACCCCGTGCACTGCTAGTGAGGATGTAAAATGGTGCAGCTGCTACAGAAAATAGTGACAGTTCTGTTTCTGTCGTCATTTTATAGATGGTTAAACTACGGTTCAGAGAATTCTTGCCTGAGGTGACAAAGTTTGGTTTCTCAAAAAGTTAAAAATAGAATTACCATATGATCCAGTAATATGACTCTGGGCATACATCCAGAAGAGTGAAAAGCATCATCTTGAAGGGCCATTTGTATACCCATGTTTACTACAGCATTATTCACAGTAGCCGAAAGATAAACGCAGCCATCAACGGGTGAACGGATAAACAAAATACTGCATATTCATGCCATGGAATATTATTCAGTCTTAAAAAGGAAGGAAATTCTGACATATGTTACAACATGAATGAATCTTGAAGATTTTATGCTGAGTGACATAAGCTAGTAAAAAATAAGATAAATTCTGGGGCCAGATCCATGGTACAGCAATAATGTGTTGCTCAAGAGAATCTGGATCCCACATGGTGCCCACAGTTTGAGTCTCTGATTCTGTCAGCCTGAAACACTTGGGCCACATCCTTGCAAGTGCCCGGATCCAAACGACTGAAGGACTAGAGGAAGGAGATCATTGGCGCAATCAGACCCTGTGGAGGGTCTCTCTCTCTCTCTCTCATACACTTTATCATGAACAAAGAAAAAAATTTTAAAGACAAATTCTGTAGGGGTCCACCCATTTGAGATCTCCAGAACAGTCAAAATCATAGACAGCAGGTGGTTGCCAGGGCCTGGAGGAAGGGGGAGCAGGAAGTTACAGTTTAACGGGCAGAGTTTCAGTAGGGAAAAGTGAAAGCGTTCTGGAGACTGGCTGCACGGCAACGTGAACTGGCTTACCACTGAACTAACCATACACTTAAAAACGGCTAAGGTGGTACATTTCATGTGATTTACAATTGGAAAAAAAGGAATCCGAAAGATAGTAATGAGACACTCATTTTTGAATCTATCAGATTAGGGAAGATTGAAACAGCTGACAATGCCTGGTGTTGGTGTGGGCGTGGAAAGATGGGTATATTTATAAACTATTAAAAGGGTTATAAAATGGTGTTACCTTATTTTTTTTTTTTTTTTTTGAGAGGTTTTTGCTATAGGGCACGTGCGCTCACCAGGAAGACAGAGAGAGACAGAAAGCGAGAAATCATCCCCCCAGGGCGGATGGTCACGCCGCAATCCCTTCTCCTCCATTCTCCTCTCAGGATCTTGGGCACACACGCACACGCGCCCGGTGTGAGTTTTAAGCCACCGGGTCCGGGACGCGAACTGCAGTCGACTACATGGGAGTCCAGCGACATAGCCATTACACTAACTGCTGGTCCCTAAAATGGTGTTAACATTTGAGAGAGATTTAGCAACATCTGGGAGCCCTGACTCTGAACTTCAGACCCTTGCCACAGCTGGAGGCAGCTGATGTCCTGGAAGAACCAAGGACTAAGAGTCAGGGGCCCCTGTTCCCACCCAGCTCTGCTACAGGAGCAAGAGCCCTCACCGTGGACTTCACCTCCGCCCCAGCCCCACATCAAGCCAAATGCCAGTGAAAATAATCAGGACACCGGAGCCGAGGTCAGCTGCCTGCGTCAGGATCCTGGCTCCTGCACTCGACTGTGCCACCTCGGGCAAGTGTTCTGACCTCCCTGAGCCTCAGTTTACCCATCGTAAGATGAGAATAGTTAACATTTCACGAGCTGGTATGAGGATTAAACTAGTCAGCACAAAGGAAGCGAAGAGAATCGTGTCCAGCACGCAGCAGGAGCTCAGTCCACGGTAGCTTTTGCCATTATTTTACTTTGCAGAAAGTGAATCTGAGGGGGCTTCCAAAAGCTATAAAGCTCTCCGTTATTCAAAAGATCGGATTTATCCTGAGAACTCGCCTTTCTCCCCTATACCTCAATAGAGAGTCACGGTGGAAATCCGGAGAATTCCACCTTCCAGCTCCTCCCACTCTAGGGGCTTCCTGGCTCCATCTCACCCTTTGTGTCTGTCTGTCTGTCCACCCCATCTGCGGGGCAGTCCAAAACGGACAGTTAAGTGGTCCCTGCCTTCCTCTCTCCAGCCCAACCACCCATCCTTCACCCAACAAAGGTGAAGCTTCGTCAGCCCCATCTGCTGTGTCATGAGGCAGGATCTGGGGCAGAGTGGAAGGAAGGGTGCACGCAGCGAATAAGATGCTCTGCTCGGTAAACTCTGTACAAGAGGGAAATGAGACAAGCGGGGGACGTCTCGTAAACAGGGCTCGAGAGTTTCATGGGCTGGTTATAACAGCTTCCAGAGAAGCTGGGCCTGGAGGAAAACAGAAGCAAGAAAGGGGTTGGGCGAGGTGGCATCATGTCCTTTGGTGCCCCCACCCACCCCTACTCTGTGCTCGCTGAGAGACCCAAGTGAGGCCGCAAGGGCTGGGCTACAGTTTGGCAGTGAGATGCGCAAGAGCTGCTCACAGGAGGCCACGGTTAGTAACGGGCTCACGCAGGCCTTGGGGAAGCCCCACAGGGAGACTCCAGACTCCCAGAGCCTCTGGCTGTGGAATGGAGATGGTGACGGGAGTTGTCCTCCTCTGGCCCCAGCCCTGTCCATCCCCACTGAGGGCCCACCTCGAATGCGAGATAGTGCTCCTTCAGCCGGGACTCCTCTGCCTCCTTGGACTTGACGCTCCTCTCGACTGGGTGACACCTGTGCTCCGCCAGCTCTGCAGTCACCTGCCGCAACTTATTCTCATGAGACCGCAACTGCTCCTCCTGCAAAGGCAAGTCCCAGACTGTGAGGTCTCACCTGTGGGCTGTCCTGCCAGGAGCCGCTTTGCCAAAGGAAGTTGAGGCCCGGCCAAGGTTACCAAATACAGGAGGGAAAGCCAGGCTCTGCGCCGGGGGGAGTGCTCCTCCCACCTTCCTCCCTTTGCTCCCCTAGGCACGGCCCTCTCCTCCAGGACCCCCTGCAGGCTCACTCTCAAATGTGTGTGTACACGCTCCCTGGCACAGGCACGCGATCATCCAAACTTACCCTCGGCTCACATGAACTCTCACACGCACGCACAACACACTGGACCAACGGCCTCCTGGCCCCAGTTGTTCCTGGCCCCATATGACACATCTGTTTCCTCACGTTCATGCCAGATGCGTGTGATAGTCACAGACCCAGGATCACCCCCAAAGACAGCCTAGTACATACACCTCCCCAACAGTACAGCCAGGCCCTGCTGTGTGGCATCCGTGTCTCTGAGTGTGGGACACACCTGTGGACATGTGGAAGTGTGCCCCCTGTGTACATGCATGTGTGTGTGTCTGTGTGCGTGCATGTACATGCACCATGCATGTATGTGTACAATTGTGCATGCACAAATAGGGGCTCTGAGCAGGCAGCCTAGTGGGGGTGGGGGGCAATGGCTGACAGGATGGGAAGTCAGGATCTTCCCCTGCCCTCTGCCTCAAGTTCCAGCCCACTTATTACCCTTTCCTGTCCAGAAGACCCTGAAAAGCTAGGGACAGATGAGTTCGGGTATTTTTAGGATCATAAATAATGCATTGAAACATAGGTGAGGGCAGTAGAGTGACCCTGGGCGCAGGGTCGGCCGTCTCGCCTGCCCCTAACCCCATGAAACACACATCTCACAGTCAAGCCCAGACCCACCGACCACACCCACTGGCAGAGGAGCCCACAACGCCACCTGCCAGGGCACAGCCAGGCCTCTGTGTGGGCTGCGGGGTGTGGCCTCAGTCTTCCCATCGGTAGATGGGGCAAAGTGCAGCAGAATGGAGGAGTTTGTCTGTCCTTCTCTGGTGTCCCTCAGTCCAGGACCTGCGGGGGCAGCAGTCCTGATCCTGGAGCTGTACCTGGCAGAGGCGAGTGGAGCAGGAGGGCAGCAGGGGCCGACAGAACTTCTTCATGGAGCTGACGGCAGCTGGGAAGGCCGGGGCCGAGAAGATAGCAGCCACCAGGTTGATCCTAAGGATCCAGGACAGCATTTCTTCTTTGCTCCTGGGAACAGATGGAAGGGGAGAAGGTGCCAGCTGCTCGTAACAGAGCTCTCTATCCCCCACCCAGCACCCAGGACCTAGGATTAGGCCTGGCACAGAGAAGGCCCTGACATTAATACCTTCCTATAGGTGGGGAGGGAGAGAGAGAGGGTGGCTGGATGGGCCTAGGCAGAGCGGCATAGGGAGCTCCCCTTCTGTCCCAGCTCCCAGGCAAACCTGAATTTTCTTGTGAAAATAAAACTACCCCTGGCCCTGGAGCCTGTGAGCCCAGGGCATCCTCAGAGGCAGGGGCACTAGTCAGTTGCCCAGCGCTCCCCCGTGCCCTGCAGCCTGCCCCGCACTTGCACGCTGACCCTGCACCCAGCGCTCCCCCCGCCCTGCAGCCTGCCCCGCACTTGCACTCCGACCCTGCACCTCATCTGCTGGCCTCCCTCCTTCCAAGTTTGTCTGACACAAGAAACCCCAATCTCAAGTCACAGAAGGACAGGGTGCAAACCGGTGGAAGGAAGGCCTTACGAGTCAACTGTAGGGTCTTTCCCAACCACCCCCAAAATCGAAAGCAAAGAACAGTTCCTAAAGATACCATCTACTCCTTCGTGGGGCCTTCAGCACACGTCAGCATCGCCTGCAGGGCTGGTTGGACCCCAGCATGGCTGTGCCCAGAGTTTCTGATTCAGGAGGGGTGCAGTGGGGTTAGCAAGAATGCACTTCCAACCAGTCTCCTGGCGAGGCAGAAGGAACTGCATTTTGAAAGCCACCACTTTGGGGGACCCTGCTGTTGGTCTGTGTCAATTGGACACACTGGCCCAGTGGCTGATGCACACAGAAAGCAGCAGGGTGCACCTGAGATGCTGAGGTGGGGTGAGTACAGGGTCCACACTCCAGTCTAAGCCCAAGGTGAGAGCCTGGGGGCTCTGGTTCTTACTCACGGTGCCTGGAAGAGGAAGACCCTCCAGTCGGCCGTCTTCAATTTGAGCACGTTGGACTTCTTGCTGTAGTCAGAGGCCCTGGTGGCCAGAGCATGGTGCACGCGAATGGCATTCTTCAAGTCGCCCTCTGACAGAGCTTTGTCGGGCCTGTACTCATCCTAGGTGGGGCGGGGGTGGGCGAGCCTCTGTCATCACCCGCCAGTCTGCTGACCACACCTCCCACCTCCCCCCTCCCTTTCCCTCTCTCTGTCCCTGCATCTCCATTGTTTGGTTCCTGTTGCCAGGATGAGTTGCCCACCCCACAAGAATCATTCCAGGCACCCACTTTTTACCCCAGTTTGTCCCAGAGGCCTGAACAGGCCTCATACCGGGAATCCGTCATAGGATGCATGCACTCACTGGAGACAGACAGACAGTGAGACGGAAAGTAAGAAATCACCCCTGGGTGGGATGGCCACATCACAATCCCTTCTCCTCCATTCTCATCCTGGAATTTGGGGCTCACATGCACATGTGCCCAGTGTGATTTTCAAGCTTCCATGTGGGGATCCAGTGCCTTAACCACCATGCCACCTGCTGGCCTCACCACTAGGCATTTCAAAGACTCCTCCCCAAAACCTCCAAAGCCAAGACTGGGGCTCCTGGTAGGGTGGAACCAGCATCTGCCTAAGACCCAGATCCTGCTCAGGACCCTCTGGGCACTACAAGGCACGAGCTGGATGAGGCCACATGGGCTGGATGGGGCTGAGCTGGCCCTTCCTGGATAAGGAATCTGGGGCAGTCTCTCACCTTCTGCAGATACAGGATGGTCCCTTTGAGCACCGCGTAGAATTTCTTCCAGCCACGCCTCCCACGGGGTGCTGGGGAGGGGGGCACGGGTAGTGCGGCCACAACCACCCATTCCAGTATTTCCTGCCCTGCCTCCCCCTACATGACCACTGTGTGCACATGCCCAAAGGAGTGGCCAAGGGTGCAAGCCCCTTCTGCACTAGCAGCCCTCCCCATGCCCCAGCCTGACACCCACTCCTCTTGCCATCCATGTCAGCGTGAGTCTTCCGGGTCAGCACGCCATGCTTGTAGGTGGTGGCACTGAGAGCCTGCGGGACATCCAGGAAGGGGTTGCCGCCATCCAGGATCCGTGTCACTTTCTTTGTACCTGTCCCAAACTTGTCATCCACCAGCTCAGACAGTGATTTCCTTAGCTCATCTTCATCACTAGGAAAATACCAGGCCTAAGCACCACCTCCAGGAAGGCCACAGCCCCACATCATTGTGGCTTCTCCCCACCAACCACCTTGCCGGGAGCCAGGGTCAAGGGTGATGAGCAGCCCCAGGAGGCAAAAGGTCCAGATCTCTGGCCCCCACCCCTCATCTTCAGTTCTGACACTTTGATTTGGTCTCCAAGCTCCAATCCTCACCCTAATTGCCAAGTTAGAAACTCTACTAACTCCAGGCCTTCTTCTCAGTCTTACTTCTTCTCTTCCTTCCAACCATGAGAGCCTCATCCAAAGCACTAATGCAAGGTGAGACAGAGCTTCTGCACAAGCCCCACCTACATGCTGGCAGAAGGCAGGCCAATAGGCAAGGGCCCTGAAGTCTAGCCTCCCCCATGGGAGCCCCAGTAGAAGACAAGCCCTTCCCAGCAGGGTTGGGATTCCTTTCTAAAGTTGCAGGCTACTGAAGAGCTTGGCAGGGAGAGGCTTCCCAGAGCTTCTCACTGTCTCTCCATCTAGCAAGGTCGCTGCCCCATTTCCTGGTCTCGCTGTCTTTGCAGGGGAAGAAGTTAGAGGGAAGATGCCTCTCTCCACCACCAAGAGCATCACTTAAACCTGGTCATGGTCATATTCTCAGGGATATAGGAGTCACTGCCTTCTGCCTGTTTCCCTCCCAAAGGAGAAAGAACTGTCACCACTGGGAATTGTGGCAATAGCCACAGTACAGGAGACATCATGAAACTAAAGTCACAGTTGAATATATCCCATAGCAGTGTAAACACCGCATACTTTTTACCAAGACAGATAAAGGGGAACTCCACCCTGCGTGTTGGCCAACTAGACAGAAGTCAGCAAGCCCTGGGTGGGAGAGATCAGCACCATGGAGAGGGGTCGGAGTGCCGCATGTACCCCCAGCTGCTCCCCTTCCCGAGGGTGGACTCCCACACCTCTGCCTGGGGCACTACTCACATGGCCCATTCCAGTTTTTCATTCTTGATAGAGTTGTAAAGGGTCTGGGAGAGGGAAAAAGACAGGAAGAGATTCAGGTGAAGAGTCATATAAGTCCCCATCTACCTCCAGTCATGTGGGTGCAGTGAAGGAGCACCTTTTCAGCCAATAGGACAAAGTAGGTGCTTCATTCATACTTATTTGTTGGATGGGCGAGTGGGTAAGTGGATGCATGGATGGGTGGTATTTAATTATGTGGTCGTTTAATGTCTGTATGGCCTTGCAAAGCTTCACAAGGTCAGTAGTTATCTATCTTGTTCACCACTGAATCTCCAGAGCATAATGCAGAACTTATGTACAGTAAGTGCTCAATGAGGTGGATGAATGGATGGATGGATATATGGATAGGTGGAAGGATGGGTGAGTGGATGGATGAATGGAGAGTGAATGGGATAGGTAGGTGGGAGGGGAAATAGGTGGGTGGGTATGTAAATGAAAGGGGTTAGATGGATGGGGAGAGGGTATATGAAGGAGATTTGGAGGTAGAAGAAGTATGTGGGTAAGGGTATGAGTGAGTGGATGAATAGGTGAATGACTGGATAGATAATTGAATAAATTATTGGGTGGATAGGTTTGAGAATGAGTGAATCCCCAAGTTCTACCTTCTTTTTCTAACCAGAGGGGCCCAGCCCTCCAAATTCAATGCCTGCTGTTCATATGTTGATTCCCTCCTTGGAGTATCAACCTTTGAGGAAACAGGGTGGGTTTGGATGCTATAAAGCAGTGTTTCCCAGTGTTTCCCAGGATTTACCTACAGAACCCTTGTATCCCATAAGTTAGTGGATAGGTGGGTGGATGAGGAAAATGGGTGAGAGGGCAGATGGGTGAGTGTGAGTGGAGTGTTTATGGAGGAGGATTTAGGGATGCCTGGGAGGCATGATTGTGGTGGGTGAACAGGCGAGTGTTTGGGGTAAATGTATGGGTGGCGGGTGAATGGGAGGGTAATGAGTAGTGAATGACTGAGTGACTGGGTGGATGGACAGATGAATGGGTGCATGCACGCATGGGAGGATGAGAGGGTGGGTGGAGAAATGGGTATATGAGAGGAGGTGCAGAAGCAGATGGGGGGATGGTAGGACTGGAATTGTTTGATCTCATAAATATGCTTTTAACAAGTGATTTTTGGTAATGAAGAAAATAATTATGATAAGAATGATGGAAACAATGTTTTGTTTTGTTTTGCTTTTTTACTTCCAGATTCACTACTCCTTTGATATCACCATGTCTTTCAAATCCATTATTTAAAAATAAACTCATCTATCCCCCAGAAACCTTCTCCTCCTTCTCCAAGGGTGGAGAACTAACCAGGCTGAAAAATTCCACCCTGGGCTTCAGCCTCAAGAGGAAGCCGGATTCCCTCAATTCCTGGCGATTTGGGAGGAAGGCAGGCACTGTGCTGCTGCTGATGGCTGTGGTGAAGGTGGCTGTGGGAGTGGTAAAGTGGCGATGATGGGTGGCGGATGTGCCCATTGGTGTCAGTGTTGGTTATTATTTGGCAGCAATGATAAAAGTGGGGCATTAAAAACAAAGCTTGCCCTTTGCCTAACTCAGAGAACACAAAACAGCCGAATGTTGAGCTGGGTGGTCTCCACCTCTGTCCCGAGGTCATGGTGGCCCTGCCTTCAGTGTTAAGAGGCCAGAGTGTCAAGATGTAGTGGAGCAGAGATCTCTCTCTTCCCCACCCACCCAGGGGCACAGCGAGGGGTATGGGAACTCCTCTCAGGTAATACCTTCAACAGGTCTTTGGCAAAGTCTTGGCCATCATTCAGCTGGTCCAAGTTGGCAATGAATTGCTGGCAGGACATCTTCTTGCCAATGTTCTGTAATGGAAAAGTGTTTCTGCCTGAGAACAGAAAAGGAAGCTGGTATGGTCCCCACATCCTGCCCTGCCCAGCCAGAAGGGATGAGACAATACCAAGGGCAGTAATGGAATAAAACTGCATGGATTTTCCTTTGTCTCCAAGAGGTAAAACTCTTCTTCCACATTCAATATTCTATTTGACACTCAGGTATCACAAGCGATTGGGGTTCTCCTCAAGCCCAGTTGAAGGACTCAGGTTCGGATGGAGTGCTGTAACGGCTGGCATTTGCTGATCGCCTACCGTGTCCCAGGTGTTGGACTTGACATGCACTATCTCATTTCCTCCTCACCACAAGGAGCAGGCAAGGTGGGTGTTCTCATTCCCATTTGACAGGTAAAGAAATTAAGATGCAAAAGGTGAAGTGACATGCCCATGATCACACAGCAAGAAAGTGGAAGGGCCAAGTGTGTCGGACACCAAAGCCCATGCTCTCACCCGCCACTCCATGGTTAACTCCCAAGGTCACTCGGCACCAGGACTTGAACCCAGGCCTCTTGGCTCCTGAGCAGAAGCTCTGTGTTCCTCCACAACTGTCTCACCCTCTCACCTGCACAGACGGGCAGCAAGACCTCCAAGAGGTAGGTGAAGTAAGGGAGAGGTTGGACTTAACAAGAGTCAAAAATCAATGTCCACCAACACACATGGGGACCCCATGCTGAACCAGGGTGAACTTAAAGAAACCAGAGCAGATGGTTTCACTCCTGGGAGCCCAGACACAGAGCTGGGCAGAGCTGAATCCCCAAGTTCTGCCTTCCTTTTCCAACCGGAGGGGCTCCAGTCCTCCAAACTCAACGCCTGCTGTCCGTACTTTGATTCCCTCCTTGGAGTATCAGCCTTTGAGGAAACACAGGGTGGCACTTCCTCCTGATGAGGCTTTGTGCGTTTGGGTGCTATAAGACAGTGTTTCCCAGGATTTACCGACAGAACCCTGGTATCCCATGAGATGGGAATAGGTATTCTCTCAAAAGAGGACTTCATCGTCAAATCAATTTATTTACATGCTTTGGAATCTTTAACGTGCATCCGTGTGTTGGAAGTCTCCAAGGAGAACATTCCATATAGGGTTTCCCAAATTGACCTTGGCACCATTTTAGCACTGAGAATCCATTAACATCAAGTGGGACATTTTGCGCACCACAGAAATGATAGAGAAAGCAATGAGGGGAGACTTTATATGTAGCTGATAAGCAAGAAATTTTTAAAAAAGGTTTTTGCCATAGGGTGTATGCACTCACTGGAGTGGAGAGAGACAGAGTGAGGCGATGAAAAGAAAAATGAGAAATCACCCCCCCGGCAGACGGCCATCCAGCAATCCCTCTCCTGCATCCTCCTCCTGGGCACTCCTGTGTGCGTGCCCAGCCTGAGTTTCAAGCCACCAGGTCCAGGACTTAGACTGCAGTCAACCCTGTGAGAGTCCAGCACCTTAGCCAACACACCACCTACTGGCCCCTGACGAGGAAGAATTTTCGATACCTTTTCCAAAGGGTTAAGGAGAGAAGACCTTTTGCATGCCTTGATATAAGTGTGTTTCATATGTGTGTGGGTATATTTTTGCACATGCATACGTATGTATATGACATGGTATATAGCCATTATGTGTACATTCACGATAGAGGAAGATGAGGGCAATGTTGGCAATACTGTCTGAGTTACACACACTGAACCTTCTCCAGCCATTAGTCAGGAGAGCAAAATCAAAAATAATAGTAAGGGGCTGCAGGTGGCATGGTGGTTAAGGTTCTGGACTTCTATATGGCTGACCATAGTTAGAGTCCAGGACCCAGTGGCTTCAATCATACTGGGCACATGCATGTGCGTGCCCAAAATCCCGAGAGGAGAATGGAGGAGAAGGGATTGCAGCGTGGCCATCTCCCCTGGGGGGTGATTTCTCACTTTCCCTCTCACTTTCTGTTTCTCTCCAGTCAGCGCACAAGCCTTATACAAAAAAAAAAAAAAAGTTCATCAAAATATCAATAAAACATCTGTATGAAAGTATTGGCAAAGTAAAGAAGGGGACATAGCCAGCAAGTGGTGTGGTGGTTAAGGTGCTGGACACTCCCACAAGGCCAACCATGGACCATGGTTCAACTCCCGGACCTGGTGCCTTGTTTTCTCTCTCTCTCTCTCTCTCTCTCTCTCTCTC